CCAATCTTTGTTAAATCAAGGGAGTAATAAAAACTGAAGCCAGTTTGATAAAAATTGAAGCCAGTGAATTGCTTTGTACCTTAATTTTTTAGGAATTAAACTGGTTTGGATTTCTCAGTTGAAAGAAGCTGTGCTGCTGCCAGCTACAGGGACACAGAAAGACAAATATTGAAATTCCAGAAAGTTTGAGTAACTCTGCGCTAAAGCAGCTCTTCAAGAAAGGTACCAGTATTCGCAAAAGCATTGGAAAATGAGGGAGCCCCATGTTTCCTCGTAGTTTGTCCTAGTTACTATGCAGCTGTGCTTTTACCCTATTTTTAAAAATCGAAACAAGTCAGATTTTTTTTTCATCTACTAGTTTATATATTTCTGTTAAAGTGCTGTTGGTTTAATATTTTCTCTCTGTGGACTTTGTGGTACATCAACTATATTTTCTCTCAGTTTTCTATCTTTTTTTTTCCCCCAGTAGTCTAGTGCTGGGAAATGTAAAGAGCCTAATGAGCAATGCTAGCTCTGAATATTTTGTTTCTCCTTTCTGTAACCACTCCATTTTTTCTACTTCCTTTCAAAAAACACAAATTGCACATCATGAGGGTCAGTCTCATCAACAGAGTAAACAAAGATAAGGTAAGTGTTAACGCTCATGACTGCTCAAGTATATACAAAGGTCATAAAGAAGCAGATGATGAGCGTTTCGCTGTGATTTTCAGTGTCACTGTCTTCCTGGAAATTAGTGTTGCTTTCACTGTGCACTGAGCTGAATTAGTGCACAGATACTTATATGGAGCCAGGTGACGGAAGAGGACAGGTTGCTCTGCCCTTGCCTGTATTCACCAGGGAGTGTGCCAACCTCAGATTTTATCAAAAACAACCTGGTATTTACCTCCAGATCAATAGCTGAAATAATGGATAGGCTCTTTCCTAGTAACGCCAACACGAATCAACAAGGATTTTATAGAGGGCCTTTTTTTTTCTTTCTTTCTTTTTTAATGATAAACTAGTGAATTACAAGTTGTTACAAGGTAAATGTAAAGAATAGTTTAAGAATAATATTTGTCAAATAGAAAGCGCAAAGGTAAATGTGAAATAGGCTGAAGCAAGATGAACCTATTAATTACATTGAAGCAGTGAAGTAAAAGTTGTGAGGAAAGGAAGTTACTTTCCCTCCCCTTTTGGGCTCCAGTCAAAACATTTTGTCTCTTTGACCATAGAAACTGAAATGTTGAAAAAGAGCTGAAAAAATAGGCCAAGTAGAACACACTTCTGATTTGAATTGCAAGTATTTATTAAATTAAAGAGAACATGCAGTTTTTCATTGCTTTTACATTGGATATTCTCCTTTGACTCAGTGAAAATTCAGTGAAAAAATAAGATAGAACAAACCTATCCAGGTGCCACAATCCTTACAAACCAGGTAAGGAAATAAGGTATGTGGCACAGAGCTGTCACCCCGAAAGATCCTTTAGAAAGAACTGAGAATCAACAAGAAATTTTTAATAGCACTGATGCATTCTTAACTGAATTCAAACAGACTGTACCTGTTCTCAAAATGATAAAATTTTAGGTTAAAAAAATATGTCAGTAAAACATGAACGAAGAGGAAGGAAAATTATATAGAAAAGAAATGCAGGACAAATATAGAATCAGTTGAAATACTTAGGGTTCTACAGAAGGCAGACTAGTGTAAGTTTGAAATGTGAGTACAATCCCTTGGTGATGTTACTGCTTTGTATCCTCTTTTAATTGGACCATGTCAACATGGAGAAGTATTCACATGGAAATAATTACCAACCAAATTAAAATCTAAATATTTTCAATTAATTGTGTGCTTCTGTTTTCCAGACTGTGCTTCAGAGCCCTGAGGGCCGGACTAGAGGAGAGGACAAGCTAACTTTTCCCTGTTGGCCTTTCGGTGACGTCAGTAGAACTATTCAATTTACTGTCACATAGAATTTGGGCTAGTGAGCATACAGAGACAGAGCAATTTACTCCAGCTCTTATGTGACCCATTATTTCAATGCCAATATACAAACACAATCTATTTGCTATAGGCATGTCTACAGAACAAGCAAACTGAACTAGCTACTAAACTATCTATATGTCTACAATCTAAAGAAATCATACACCTACAGCTCATGTAATTTACATCAGTCTCCAGTTGTCTTCCACTCGTGATGTATATAACAAAAATACGCATTTATACACGTTCATGCAATTCACACACAGAGTTAGCATACTGGTTGCAAATGGAACTTTATTTTTTAAACAACTACCTGGACCTTTACATGGCAAAAACGCTTTTCTTCTTTCCAACATTCACCATTATTTAATGGCAGAGCTCTCAGCCCTTAAAATTGCCAGTAGAGACTTTGTTTTGCTCCGCTGCTGCCCCAGCTGTCAGACTTTGCAGTAAACACTCAGCATCTAAACTATCTTAGCTCTGCATAAGGCTTATTAATTTTTTAGAAGACTGACTGAATTGGGAAGAGGGAGATGACACAGCATCACGAATTCCAGCCTGAGACTCTAGAAAGGTGACAGCTGCACTGTGCTTCCTTACATTAAGGAGAGCGTTGCCATCTAGTGCATTTCTTGTGTGAGAGTGGGCATGAAATAACAGGAGAAAAAAAAGTCCATTGAATAGACCTGTGCTTCTAAGCAGCTAGTGAAGAATAAATTGCTCTACTTTATCTAAAAGTGCCATTTTTAGCATTTTTTTCTAATGAAGACCATTATACACTTGATGAATAAGGGATAAAAACAAAGGAGGTTGGAGGAAGGATGTTTTTGTTAAGTTTTAAGAGTCTCACATTACTAAGCAAAAGAGATGCAGAAGCTGAAGGAGTCATTAGATACTATTGTGTGATTCAGCTACTGTGAAAAATGAATTGACTCAAACTTATTCTTGCAGCTATTTATAGACTCAGCTGATTTTACATCTTCAGCCATGAGAATTTTAAATTTATGAGTCTAAAACCGATGCTGCCATGTTATGGAATAGCATTTATTTTAAAAAGGGCCCATGTGTCCTATAAAGTTTTGGTAATATGGGAAAAGCCAAAAAATAGCTGTTACGAATCAAAACAGTGATTCCCTTTAACTCAAGAGGACAAGGAGAAGAGAGTATTACTAATGAAGGATGGACTGCATTTATTTGTTTAATGAAATCAGTCTCCTATGACTTACTAAATAAATTTTTTTTAAAAGGCAAATCTGAGAAATTAAACTACTTACTTTCCAGCAATAAAATACTGAGAGAAATACCAGACGTAGTCTTTAAATTCCCCATGCTGTTGTCTTGCCGTTTGCGAGATTAAATGGGATATGCCCAGTGGCACATCCCATCCCATCTTCCAGTCTTCCACCCTCCCCTGCATTTCTATTTAACACATAGGTTTATTGAAGTCTTTGGAAAACCTAAATAAGCACACATCAGACAGGTTAAGAAAAATTGTACAAAAATCATGGTTTATTGAAAACTGAAAAAAAAAACCCGCAGGTGTTATATTACACCGCGCTCATGAAGCAACAGGGAAGAGGAGCCTGATGCAGTGCAATGGAATTTCAATTCATCATAAAACAAACAAGCAAACACCAAAAAGAAACCTTCAACCATTCAGTATGGGAAGTGCATTCCAATCCTGCAATTCTGCCTGAATGATGCAATACAGAAAAAAAACAAAAATGTATCCAAGACAATGTCGAAGTTAAAGACTGGCATGCTGAGCAAGGAAGGTTCTTATTCTTTGTAAGAGTTCTTTCTTTACGCTGTCCGGTACCAAGGCTGAAAAAACAAAAAAGAAAGAAAGTAAAAATGAAATAGCAAAGACAGTCAAAATCAACTTTTTGCAACAGCTACTTAAATTTAAAATTGTTCTTGCAATTCTGCTAATACCTGAGGTAACCAAAGCTACTTGATTTTTTTTTAATATAAGCACATAGCAATAGAATCAAATTAATTTAAAGTTAACCTCTTAAATAAGAAGTTCTGAATAAAGGCAAGCTTTTATTTGGCTAAAAACAAGAAACTTAAGCACTTAGGAAACATGCTTATTTAGCAGGAAACAAATCATTAGAAAATAGTTTGATTATCATGGGTATCTTTTTCTTTACAAATTTAAAAGCAAAAACTTCCTGGCCATGACCTCAGAGTAAGAATCTTCAGCGAGTTATTTCCAAGGTCTCTTTTTAAGAGTTAACAATGTTTCTCCCACCAGGAGCAAAACTTCTTTAACAGTCTAAGTAGAACCGTGTATATAAAGAATTCCGTGTGTGTGCATGTTCTGTCCTTTGCTTTTCCTACTACCTATTACGTAGTTCAGGATTTTGCCTAAGAAACAGTTGGAAAAAAACAAAAACAAACAAAAAACCCAAACCACAACACACACTCTCCATTACATACCTAGAGCAACGCCACTTCAGTGGCAGAGAATTTCCTGGCTCTATGAAGTTATTTATAAATAAGATGGGCTCATGTGACACAAGGTCAGTACAAACAGAACGGCTGTTACACCATGCAAATATAAATATTTTGTTTCCGGTTAATGCCAAGCTACTAACACTTTATGTTTCACGTAAACATAAGCTATTTCACAGTGCTGCTTTGAAACAAGCCTTGAAACATAGGTAGGTTGTGCTTACTTGCTAATGTACACAGTCACTTTTCCATTGTGTTTCCTTACCTCTGCCTTTGGGGGTGATTTCTGCCACCAAATCATCCACAGTAACATGCTCTAATCCTTTTTCTTTAATCACATCTAAAGAATACCAAGACAGACATTTGATGACTTTTAATACATTCAGTATAAGACAAAACCAGTGCCAATGATTAAGATACGAAGCATGCAGGGACAGGTCAGGGGAGACTAGTCTGTAATCTAAAGTTACCTCGTTAACCCAGTATCTACTTTATATTACAACAGATTTAGTCTGTAATTCATACAGACTAAGAATGTGATCCTTTCCATACTGATGCATCTCAACTAGCTCAGATTTTAAAAATCTAATGTTATAAAGTTTATCTGAATATTACTCATGTATTACTGAAAGTGCTGTATTAGTTTGCAAGTTGGTCTGCTCACATCTCCAAATAAATTGATCCAATTGCATTTGTTTTTCCTAATGTTGTGTATAAAATATTTCAATTTAAAATACAGAAAAGTATTTACAACTCTTTGCAGCGTCCTATCTTCCTAATTGGTTTAAATTAGTTAATCTCTATCCATATTTCAGCAAAGAAAAAAAGAAAAAATTCAGACAGTTAAAAATCCTATCTCAAAGCATAAAAGTTATGACAAACACTGGGTGATTATGTGATAATACATTTGGTTTCTTTAAAGAAATTCTCTACTTATAAAACTTGAAGACTACTGATAATGTAGATGTCAACATTGAAAAGAATCTTGAATTCAACACCATAGTTCTAAAACATGTTCTCTAAGTGAGAATGTTTTAACTACACTATGCATATATCAATAGGCAAAAGATCCGAAGAATCCTAGCCCCTAAGACACCAGAATCTGTTTTATCAACTGCCATCACATGTGGTGTTTGAACACTGGCTTTTCCTGGTTCTAATCCACAATTACAGGATAACCTAAGTGGAAGTACCAAAGGAAATAACTGTCCCTTCTGTTGCAGGTTATCACACCCTGAACAGAAACAACTAATTTGATATTTACTTTCTTAGCAGTTGCAATTCAACATACCAGTTTAGATGGTGCAATTTCAAATAATTTTAGCATAACTGATTCAAAACTGTAGTAAAGCCAGACATTTATTTCGCTATCCATACAATGCATAATCCCTACATGTTTGACTATCCAAAATCCCATCAAGCAGACAACTGCAAGAATTAATCAATTCACCTTCTTTGCATATCCTTCTGTGATAATGACTTAACACTCTTAGGTCTACAAAATGAAATACTTTATTAATTAAAACTTTACCAATTAACTATAAAATATTATTTGAATGTTAACATATCAGGCCCCGCAGATCTGATCAAAATAAAGACAAAAACTGAAAGATTTGTTGTTTGCTTTAAGGAAGGTGCTGTCAATAAAATAACAGTTTCATGCCATTTACAGATCTATCCACTGCAGTAATGGTAAACAGTTCAACATGAAAGACCACAGGTTGTTTTTTCACATCTAGAAAATTATTATTTTCATGAAGTCTATTCAAAAGGAGGAATACAAAGGCATTTTTCTTTCTCACTCCCAAGTGCAAATTATGCAGTTCTATGTTTGTAAGTTGCTTACCACAGTGTTTTCTCTCAATTTCTTGCCTAAGTCTTGTTAACATTGACCCTTAAGCTGAGGCTTTCATCTGTGACATTTGGCTAGAAACTTAGTTGATTACAAAGGACGTTAGTGGGCTACCATTACCTTTGCAATGTGCCTTCAACTGATCCTTCCAGCCACATTCAATTAACTTGGCTCTCAGCAACTCTTTAAGGCTGTTGAAAGAAAAAAAAAATTGTGGGGGGGAAGGGGTGGTTCTTGTCTGCAGACACAAACATTCTTAACTAAAATATGCACCAGTACAGAATTAAGCCTACAACTACAGCTGACAAGATGACTGACAAGAACAGCAGCTGAAATGGCTGAACAGCAGGTGAGTCCTATCCCAAACGGACCCTAAACATTTCGGTTAATTTTACCATGCTGGACCAGAAGGAGGTCTTAGCTCTGGTGCTGACCCACAGTACTTTTTCAAGCAGTTTTTGTGTTACAGCCACAGAAGTAAAAAAAAAAAAAGGGTGAGATGGAAGGATATAACCACTTCAACTCCCCAGGTCATGCCTGGTGTCAAACACATGGGTGTACCAGCTTCCACGGTTAGAATATCTCAGTTGAAATTAGGTCTTCAAAATAAAGCTGCCCCCACCTAAGAAGGGCTCGGTGCTGCACACATCCTTAGCTGTAGATCCGCCTGCCCCGTTACATTTTATGTCCCTTCAGACGGCAAACAGGAGAGCACACATTCCAGAGCAGCAGCGAGCAGCGTGTCGAGGCAGACACACAACCCGGCGGGGCGGGCAGCGCGTGGGGCTGCTCCTGCCTCCCCGGCGCCGCTCCGCGCGGCAGCGCGCGGGGCACCCACTCACCGCTCTCGCTCTCCAGTTTCTATCAGCTTCTGGTTAATGGTCGCTCTCATCTGGGCATCTTTATTCATTTTGCAAGCCTAGGTTTCCACGGATCTATAGGAAGCAGGAGCAAGTTTCAACAACAACGTCGGCAACACTCGGAACTGAAAAGAGATAATGGCCCGTCCCCCCGCCAGG